ATATGACCAGAACCATTGGACTTTTTAGGCCATCAAGGTTTTGGGTCCTTCACACACAAATCAATAGCCCACTCTAGGCAGTCATATATTTGATTGTCATAAATACTTTTGTGCTTAACCCTATGTTTGACAAGCAAGAGAATGAGACTTGAATTTAGAATTGGATAGAGAATTTCATAATTTAAAATTTAAATCTTATTTTAGTGTTTGGTAAAAAATAAAAATATAGTATTTACAAATTTCATTTGTTATTTAAAAAAAATGAGATTTGGAATTAAAAATAAGAAGTTTTAATATTACACATTTTAAAAATATTGCTTTCATAAAAGGTTCGTTAACTAGATAAATAATTCTAATATCACGTGTATGGTCACTTGGTAAGAATATCAATCATAAGTTGAAGAAAAGAGATTAAATAAAAAAAATATTTAATTAGAGAACAAACCATTGGTGATGGATACAAATGAAAAGAAATTCCAAATAAAAAAAATTATAATTTAAATCAATCAAAAAATAGAATATATATAATATATATATAGTGTGAAATCTTTAAAATTGGAAATTGAGTTCTTCCTAATTTTTTTTATCTTAATAAAAAATATAATGAGTTGGGTTAAGTTGAAGAAATCCCGAGGCTGACAACATAAAGAAAGGGTTTTGCGTTTGGATTAAATAAATTTCAAAAATTTAGAGTGAGTCTGATTTTTTTTTCTTTTTATTTAGTTTGTTTTATTGTTACTATAGAGCCTAATCCAACAGGTTAATTTAGGTACATTTCCACAATAGAATATATGATGTTGTAAACCCTCAAGTCCAGAGGTCTATACTGTACAACCAACTCCAGAAAGTCCTTGAGAGAACAGCGAGGGGAGATCAGTTGAGGTCAAGCGAAGGTGAGAGAGGTAGAGAAAAGGGCGAGCAGCCAACTTGGGCAACTCGACGTGACAGGTGGTACTCAAGGGATGCCAATCTCGTGAGAAATTCTTAGGTAGGCCTGGTCTACTATGTTAGTCATAAACCAAATGATAAAATCGGATATACTAACCACATCACCTTCGGTTTTCTGTGTAATCTGAAGATTTCCTTGAGACTAATGGTAATTCTTTCAGGTGACACGAAAAAGATAAGGTAACAACATTGGTGTTTAATCTTTTGGTATTATTACATAACTATGGAAATACAAGGAGATCTATAATTGATATTAGATCTTAATTCAATAAATCTGTGATTTTAGAATCCATTGTCCAATAACTATCTACGCAATGTCAAATAAATCAAGTTTTGGTAAACCATTGCATTTTGGAATTGAATAAGGATATGATGACCTGGATATCAAATCTTATTTGTCAAATTTTAATTGGTTTGGTCTATAACTACGTGGTAGAGCATGTCCACCTAAGATTTTCTCCTTGCATTCGTGTTACGGCCAGATCAGAAAATAGAGATTCCATCTATTGAAGAGCAAGTGGGTTTATAACAGTTTTCATCTCTTCTTCACCAAATGGGAATTCACAAATGGCTTGCTATGCTCCCTCCACTCTCATGTCTTTGACAAGAAAATCTGGCATCCGACTGTCCCAGTAACAAATCAAATTCTATGGGGAGGACGGAGATCACCTTGAAGTGGGTATTGCTCATCAAAAGCCAGACCCATCATAATGGAACCAAGGATTACGTTGGAGAGGGAGGTCCACCTCTTGCTTGAGGATGGGGCTAAAGATGCAATATTCAGCGCACGAGCAAATCGTGGTTAATGTAAAGAAGCAAGCCATCTGACGAATCTAAAGGCAAAGGACAGGAGCGTTTGGCAGGGATTGAGCAGCTGTCGCAGGGGTAATCTGGGCCGAAGACCCACTTGAGCCTTGCAAGGGAGTCCAATGGGTCCTTCAACTTGGTCCTTGGTGCCTCATTACAACTTGCCCTAGAGGAGCCTGGCAATCAAGACTCAAGTTATGCACAGAGAAACCTAGGTCCCGGGGTGCTTATGGTTTGCACTTTATTTTTTAATTTAAATCAAATAATACTTTATAATTTATAATTTTAAAAATTAAATTAAATCACAATTTACAGTTTAATTTAATTTCTAATTATGGTTTGCTATTTATAAAAATAGAATAGATTAAATTTATCACTTTTATATAATTTGATAGAATATTCTCTAAAAATAGGATATTCAAAATTTTATTCAACTATTTAATTTAATAAATTTAATATTTATTAATTAATTACAACATTTATATATTATATTGTAAATATATTCATACAGTATCATAAAAAAACTCTCTAAGAAAAAAAATAATTTTATAAAAAATAACATAAAGAATAAATATACAGTTGAATAGTAAAAATAAATTATATATGAAGATAAAATTTTTAATTATACACACACACACACATATTATATAGTTTTATTGGATTTATATGACTTATTTAAATTTTAAATATCAAACTAAACTTTATCAAAAAAATCTCTTATAAATTGAATCAAATCAAATTAAATTACAGTTCAACTATTCTAAATAGTATAGTTAGATTTGTTGAACATTCGTGCTTAGATACTTTTTTTTGATTTTTTTTTTTTTTGGGAAAGGAATTTCTTGGAACTTAAAAAATGGCATATAGTAGGAAAAAGGTAATAATAAATTTAACTCCAGTATATTTGGATAATTAAAGAAAAAAGAGAGAGAGAACTTCAGGTTGGCTATTTACTTTTTATTAATTATCAGAAATAATAATAATAATTCATCTCCAGTTCATTTGATTAATCTATAATCTATATGTCCTATCTAAAATCTATAATTTTTTATTTTAATTATAAGAAGGGTTTACCCCAATTATAAATAATTGAAAAGAGAAACTTTCATCTGAATAAAAATCTTATCTAAGACCAACAAGGGCTTATTTGACAACCCCGACATACGCCCGGATAGGTATCGCCGATTCGGGATGAGAGACCTTTTGGGGTGTTTCGACACCTGGAAAAGGGTTTCCGGGGTGATAGCTCAATCCCACGTGGGCGGGATTGAATTGTTCCTGGGTGGACAAGTGCTTTTGGTCAAAAGCTGACACTTCTTCCCCTTGGTTCAACATTCGGATTTGTTTATGAACGAGAGATAAGTAAAGGAAGAAATTTGGGTATTTGAATTATTTTTATGGATAAAAATACAGACATCGTCCCTCAACTTGGTTTGGATATTCAATTTGGTCCCTCTATTTATTTTATGTTTAAATTGATCACTCCACTTCTACTAATGTTTAAATAAAATCCAAATGATAGAATTCCTAAATTGCCTTCCGATATTAGACTATGTCTCTAAAATTTGAGTCAAAAGCACTTCAGAATTTTTGTATGGAAAATATGTACTTATAACACCTATCTAATTTTCTCTCTACAAATCCTCACTTCTCAAGGAGAGATTGTGCCAAACAATCCTCGGGAACCGTTGAAATATAGGTGTCTAAAAAGAAATTGAGGGAAATCTAACAAATCAGAGATTCTGGGTTTAGGCGTTTCTAATCTCCAATTGCTAAGAAAGTACCAAAAACCTTTAATTATTTTAAGTATCAAATCTTATTTTAGGTTCTCTGAGTTATCATACTATTTTGGCATGAAAACTTTATCAACACTTTGTAAATCTAGTTTTCCTTTTTGCTGTTTTTAGCCATCAATAGACCTTCATCTTTTGACGGGTTAGATAATTTTTTTTCTTTTTTTTTAAATAATAAAAGGGGTCGAAGTCTAAAAAGTAGAAAAAAAATTAATTAAGAGTAAGAATCTTAAAATGTCCAAACTCAAAAAATTGTCAAATTAAAAAGGGAAAATGCCTACTCCTTCGTGCTCGACTTAGAGGAAAGATAAGATTTGGTCATATAATTTGAACAAGAGTATAGATTTTTCTTGTTAATCAAACCGGATAGGATACTGAATTCTTCTGGCAATAGAACTGATGGCAAAGCTGCACACCTGCTTTCCTGTGAGAATATTCACCTACTGTTTGGAATCCAATTTAATAATAACCCTTGAGGGGTTGGGCTGTTTTGATGACCTACTAAAAGTCCATTTCTCTTTTAATTCGTGATTTATGAGATGGAGGTCGGGCTTAAGCCCCAAAACTATGCCACCCTGATCACCTAAATCATGATGCTTGATCAATCAACTTAGATACTTTTGGGCTGGATCAATCAATTCGAGACCCAGATTAAATTATTTAAGAATAAATAATATGATTACTTGGTGTAAAATTAGATTTTAGTGCATAATTTCTTGGAGTCATATCAGGTTTTAAGATATTCAGAACATCATATATTTAGGTTATTGATATTTCATTTTCAAATGATTTGTTGTCTTTATTTTGGAATTGGGTGTACTTGAAAGTTAGGCAGCATCATAGCTACATCTGATTTTGATTTTGATTTATATTATTTAAGGCAAGTGGATAAACCTAAGCGTGGATATTTAATTTTTTTATAATATATAGCTCGATGAATAACCATTTTCATTCTACCAAGCTGGTATCCCCCAAGGGGCTACACTCCAATTCTGAAATCTCACTCAATTTACATCTATACAATGCCGAATAGGCTTCCTTCACTCTGATTTTCCAACAGTCAGAAGCAGAAACATAAATAGTTTCACTCCAAAACGAGCTGCATATGTCGATTGAGATCTTTGAGATAGGTGGTGGAGCTGTAGTTTTCCAAGTCAAAAGCATCCAGGATGACCGCCCTCCCGGCTCCCTCAGCCTTGTGTTTGAGATCTGCTTGGCCTCCCTCCCCACTCAGCAGCTCCGCAACCTGCCATTCCAACTGCATTAGCCTTGTGGACTTGAATCCAAGGCGAGTTTTCTCTACTCTGTTCTCTGTTTTCACTGTTGATTTTCTCAGTTTTTTGCAAAAGAAGACACTGACCAAGATATTGGAAACTCCATTGTTTTTGTTTTCCAACAAAACAGTTTTTTGAGAATTTGAAAATAACAATTTTTGGAAACAACATGCTAAACAGGTTTTCTGTTTTCTAAGACAGATCAAACAGACTTAATTAGAGGAGGAATTTTGGTACCTGGTTCATGTTAGGCCGGGCAGTGGGCAGGTGATGAAGGCAAAGCAGGGCTGCAAACATGGCACGCTGCATTTCACTGCTATCATAGGTGTCTCCGAGTCGAGGATCCGCTATGTCCTTCACATGACCCTTCTCCAACAGTGGCTTTGCCTATGTGCGCATGTCCAATCCAATTCACCAATTAGTTGTCAGAAATGAACTAGTAAAGTGACACCAAGAACAAGCTTGTGAGAGTAAACTATCAATTAAGTTAACAGGGGAGCAGGGCACTCGAGAAACAGTTCAATCACCAAATTTGAAGCACTGACAGAACATGCCCATTTTAACCTATCTTTTCTAAAATGATCTGAGATGAATTCTGTAACAGGATTTGTTGTATTAGAATTGGGCTAAGTATTAGAAATTTTAGGTGACCAAGTCATACCCACATCACAAGGCTCTGTCGACATGAATCAACTGCACGGCGACCTGTTATGAGTTCCAGTAACAAAACCCCAAATGCAAATACGTCAGTCTTCTCATCCACGACTCCATGCATGAAATATTCAGGAGCCATATACCTATACACATTTAAAAGTTACACTACAATATTAGTCTGCAAAAATCCCATAAGAAAGTAATCACAGAATTATAAGCTGATCTGCCTTACCCAAACGTCCCTTCAATGGGGTGGACAACATGGTGAGCCCAATTTTCAGGAAGCCATTTTGCTAGTCCAAAGTCTGATATCTACCACATCATTACAAGTCCATTCAGTTATAATAAACAAACTAATGTAGAGATTTTGGAGGTTGGGGGGAAGGTGGGGGGAGCAAATCAGACAGGAAATAATTAAAACCTGAGGTTCATAGTCCTCTGTGAGTAATATGTTGGAGGCTGTGATGTCTCTGTGGATGATGCGCCTAGGGCATTCATAATGGAGATAACGCAATCCCTCGGCCACCCCAAGTGCTACCTTAAACCTTATCTTCCATTCTAGATACTCGCTTGAACCTGAAATGCTGAACCTCTCCCGTTCAGTCAAATTACCCAGACTAAAAATTGAAAAAAAGAAAAAGTGAAAGAACGATTATGGCACCGTGTAGCACAGAGGCAAGACTGCCATGGGGAGAGAACTGAAGGACGAGGTGCAAGCCATCATCGGAACTGAAGCCGACCAGTTTAGCAGCGTTTGAGTGGTTGATGTGAGCAATTATCCCAAGCTCGGATAAGAAATCCCCGACTCTATCCTCCCCGTTTTTATTCTTCTTTGTTATTTTCTTCACCGCCACGACTTCACCGTCAGGTAAGCATCCCTTGTATACTTCCGCATGACCCCCTTTCCCAATCAACTTCTCTATCAAAATGCAATTCAAAAACACATAAAACAGATCGGTAAAAAAGCCCACAGATATTCCGCAGAAAATGGACATATACCAAATTTTTCACTTCAAAAGATTACCTTATAATCCATTTCCTATATTTATTGTTCCAATGAATAATTGAATTGCTTAATATATCACCAACCGACAGGAAATACTTAGAATTTTCTAAAACCCAACTAGTCAAACAACCGGGTCCCGCGTTCACTTTCCTAGATTGTCCTTCCAGTTCTCGTTAACATTAACCTTTTGGGTCAAAAGGTTTGCTATTTGGAAGAAGTCTTTTCCTGTGAGCTCCTCGGGCGGCTTTGAATTGATGTTTTAGGTTGAAATAAAAAAGGGTAGCTGATAACATTAATCACGGCTGGGACTCACTGTTCTGTTTGGTGCCAAAATGGATGGCTGTCAATTGAAAGGTTTTCTCGGTCAGGGTAAAAACAGATGTACATATATTAATCAAGCTGGCCTAGATGCATTAAGTTTGCAAGGTTGGGAGGACCGCATCTGTCCAACTGAGAACGAGACACGGGTCCTTTTTCTTTTTTGTTTCTTTCCTTTCCTTCTTAATTTTTCAATTATATAGTCTGATAATTTCATTTCATGTTACTACTGAAGTGCCTAAAACGATAAACATAGAGAATTCGTAGATAATGACCCTTCTCCGAATCTAATAATTGTTTTGACATCTTACCCACTTTCCCTACCATCTCCAAATAAAATTATTTGGGATGGAATTATTCTAAGGATGGCCAAAATTAACTATTTTTCCAGTTTTAACAACACAATCTAAAAGCCTTTCTCCAACTTATTTTGTCAGTCAAAATGTTTTAGCTAGAGCCGTTTCGGCTTTGGGCAGTCCACTAAATTTTTGACCACTCCCTCTCTCAATCAGAAAACAGTTATGGCACGTTTGATGTGTAAGATAAGAATAAATAAACTTTATTCATCTTTATTTATATTTGGTAAATAAAATAAAATAATATTAAATAAAATTTAGATAAAAGAGATTAGATAATAATAAAATTAAATTTAGATAAATTATGTTAAAGAGAGATAAAATAATTTTATTTTACTTTTATTTAATTTTTAAAAATAATATTACTTTTATTATTACTGTTAGTCACTGCCATCTCTGCTAAATAAGATAATTATTTAAATTATTATAAAGGCTACACTTCATCTTAAAATAAAAAGGGCTCTATTCTGCCTTATTTTATTCAATGTAAGGAACGTGCCTTCGCAATCAGATAAGAACTATGCCACCAAACAATGCTCTGTCCGAAAACGGGTTACCCGGAGAACTCGACTGTTGAGTTTCCTGAAGGGCAGAACCACCCAGAGACAAAGGACTCTGAGAGCAAAATTGATACAGAAAGAGAACTACTGGAAAATATTTCTTTCTTATTTCGATTTTAATTTTACCTGAGCTGAAATTGTCAGTTGCAGCGGCGAGCTCGGCGTGGCTGAAGTTCCGCCAAGAGGGCTTTGGCACCACCAAGTCGCCACAGTCCATTTCATCCTCAGCGCTGCGATTCCTCAACAATTTCCTCCTCAAATTCTTTCTCGAAAGCTCGTACCCTCCCACAGAGGGAACGCGTATAACCCCCTCACCGATCTCCTCTTCACGTTATCTATCAATTTTCTCCACTGCAAGCCCCCGTGACCCTGCGGGGAGTGAGCTCCGTTGCCGGAGGATTTCTCGGCGATGGAGCCACCACAGCTTCCTCCGCCAGAGCTGCTGGTGCTGCTGGTATCGGAGTCGGACGAACCAGAAACAGGGACCTCCAGTACAGCCCTCGGAGAGGACAAATCGTCGCCTTCGGCATCTTTGGTCGTTGAATCGGGCAAAGCTGCCTCTGGATTTACATGTTTTTCTACAATTAAAAATTATAACAATACAGTCAGGATGAAAATAGAGACCTTGAATGCGAAGTTTCCGGATAAATCGTATTTAGGTTCAAAGTGAGTTACCTTCGTCGGCCATGTTCAAAAAAGAGGTTTGTTGATCCTCGCTCGAACTATTTCAGCTTTCAATTCGTTTTGATTTGAGCAGTAGTTATTTCACAGAAGCTCCAGCGAACTCCATGTTAGAGAGAGAGAGAAGAGGAGGAGGAAGAAGAGGAGGAGGAGGGAAGACGATTATCAACTTTTGCGGTTATTCGAATATGGAATGTATTTATACACGTGGGAATCCATTAAGTACATACATACAAAGAGACTCGGCGGCTGCGGATGTCTATCCCCTCTCACTGACTGCTATGGTTTTCGGGGGACGCAATCTTGGCCGTCCTTCTTATTAACGTTCGTGATTGTTGGCGTAACTACCGCTTAAAGTGGGCACATAACGAACCCAACTATCGTTTTTGAATTTGGTGCTTCACAAGGATATTTTGATAATTTGGCGTTAGTGATTTTTCTAATTTCATATAATATTTTCTCCATTAAATCATTAATCAAAAAGATATCATTCAAATCTCACTAGACTGTTATTTTATTGGAACATGTAATATTTTTATTTATAATTTAATTTTTTTAACTTTATCTTATATAAAATTTTGATATATTTTCTAATTTTAATATTTAACACTGTCATCGAGGTAAAATTTACAATTCTTTATTATTTTACTTACCTCTCCTGAAGGTGTTTAGTATAAGTTATAGTATTATTAGATTTATTTATCAAAATCAATTTTGATACTATTTAATTATTACTTTTTTCCAAAAAAATTGATTCTCTTATAATATATATTATCACCACTTATAATCGAATCTTTTTTATTCATTTTGTTTGATACAAGATCGATGACACTAATATCTCTTTTCTTCAACAAATGCTTTTATGTATTTTGTTTTGGTGTGGGATTATTGGCTTCTATCTTTGAAACTGAAGGGAGCAAACGACAAATCATTGTAGTTGACATTGTGGAGGGCAACGGCCGAGACAGCAACAGTGCAGGGGCAGCCTCATTTCGTTTGGTCCCATGAAGCTCTTCAATGTCCTTTTGAATCCTGATTAAAGTAGTCTAAAAATTTCAGAAACACTTGTTATGTTTCCCTCCTTTTCCTTTCTCTCTCTTTTATGTTTCTCATAATCAATTCTATATCTCCCATGCATGCTCGTCCCCAATTATGCTCAATAATGAGCACATGCCCTGCAACCGTCCCCTGCTTCTCTTGCTCTCCTCCTCTTGTTCCTAACCAGATAGAATCCATGTTTCAATTGGCATCCTTCTAGTCCACATCATTCAAAATATTGGAGAAAGACCCCCACTTTCATCGGAGGTTTATTTTTTGATCCGCGAATTTCTTACACCCCTTGAAGATATTTCTTAGGCAGACTATAGAAGTAGCTGACTTTGGTGTCATATTTTCCACTGGTTTGGTGGGAGATAAAGAAAGATGTGGGGTTAACCAACTCTCCTATTTCCTGCTTTTACTTTTCTAATTGTCTCTTTAGTTGACATTCTCTCATTACCAAGAGAGGAAGGATAAAAAAATTGAAGTCATGTTCTCAATTACCCTTCATCTATGCCCTTCTACTGTACATTTTCGGCATCACATGTGAGGGCAGATGGGTTTATGTCATGTTTCTGGCGAGCCTTTCAGAACTACTTAGAATAAGCTTCTTGGCATTTGGTAACCTCGAGAGGACATTTATCAAAGATATAAAGTGACCTTATAATTTTTTTTTAAAAAAAATAAATTTCCCATCATTATGTGATTCCAAAATAACATATCTATTTCAAATTTATTTGATATTTTTCTCAAAAGCGATATATTTCTCTCTCATAATAAAATAAATTTTATATCTCACTATACATGTGTAAACTTCATTTATAAGTAAGAAATAAGAATATTACCCTAAAAAATAGTATCAATAAACTCGTACGCCTTAAAGTTGCTGCAATTAGAGCCCTCAATTGACATAAAAGTTATCATCATTTGATCCCTAATCTTGTACGTCCCTCGTTCTGTGCTTCTAATCTTGTTCTTTCCATCAACACAAAGAGCAAGGAGTTAAGCACGTGACATCACTTAATTATTTTTTAATTAACAAATCAATTGGAATTGAATTAGTTATACTCCTACGTAAGATCAACATCCCAATTCCCAAATATACAATAAAGAATCTAAGTGGAGAAGATTCATCGTTAACTAGTGGGTGAGCTGAACTTGTTAACTCTTACTTTAATGGTTTCCATTGGTATGAGAGACAGCCCTAAACCCACAGCCCAACGACCTCACCAATGTTTTCGTCTCAGTTAGAGTGTACGGTGTAACAGAATTCCCTTCGCAATGCTCATCAAAAGTCCCGCGAATTCTCGGTCAAAAAGAAAATAGCCAAACAGGGCCCTCCAATATATTCCTAAACCAGACTCATTAGCCAGGCTTTTCATGACTTTTCTGAACCATCACCAGCTTAGCTAGAGCAGCACCCACTTTTATTTTTCCTTTTTTTTAATGGAGGACCCCATTTTTCCAAAAAGAAAATGAAACTCTCAGCAAGATGAGATTAAGGCACTGTTTGGGTTACTTAGAAATTTCAATATTCTGGTTTACATTTTAAATATTTAGTTTCACATGAAAACACTGGGAACCTAAGAAAAAAACACTCAAAAAAACTTTTTTTTTGAGACTTCGGGAGTTTTCTGTCAACATTATAAGAAGAGAGAAATTGTCAAAATAAATATTTTAAATTTTTTTATATTTGGTTATGAATGTTTTGAGATAATCAAATAAAAATTTCAGATTTTTTAAAATAAATTAAACTATCTGAATTTTTCGTTTCATGAAATATAAACTAAAACCCAAAAGAATGCGTCCCCTACATGACTTCCCCTTTAAATTTGAAGTCTTGTAACTGGATTTGGTAACCCAAATTCAAGGTGGGGCACCAACCAACCCCCCCAGAGTAGAGGGGGAGATGATGCTGATGACTCATGCGGGTTGGTTGGGGTTTGCCCACAAGAATGAACGGTTTAGTTGTTTCAACGGGTGATCTTCCATTGGCTAAGGAGATGAAAATTTGGATAAAAAATAATAGAAGAGAAAAAAAGATAGAAAGAAAGAGTGAAATGGATTAAGTGACATGAGTCAGCAGATGTGACCAAAGATGTCAACGAAATTCGAATTTCAAAAAATAAAAATAAAAATTAGGAGATAGAATGATAGAGTAAGATTGTACAATAGGAACAGATTTAAAATTAAATTATTGGAGGCTGAACTTAAAAAAAATAAAATATGGGGAGCTATTTTTCATTTTTATAAAATTACATATTAAAAATGGAAAAATTTTTGAGGTGGCACCCACATGCCTGTACAAATCTGTCCTGTTGCACAAGCAATAGCTAGTTAGTGATTAGGCGGAAGCTCTTGTCACACGGCACATTGAACCAATCCAGTAAGACCTTGTCACTTCCTTGCTTACAATTATCCTTCTTTTTTTTTTTTTTTAATTGTTATCTTGCTCGTCCAAAATTATTTATTTATTTTAGATTTTTATTTATTTACTTTTGAAAACCTTTTTATCGCGGATCATCACCCGTTGCCAATCACTGTCAAGAACGAAAAATTTATTTTAATAATTTTTATATTTATCTAATATTTTATCTAAATGTAATTATAAATGTGACAAAAACGATAACAAGGTCTATTTTTTTTTAATTCTAAATGATCTGAAAAATTTTAAAAAATTGTATACATTTTATAATCTTTTAATAAATTCATATCTTAATTATAAAACTAACATCAATTTTAAATTACCAATTAGCATAATATAATTTTGGGCAATCAAAGGTTGATTAATTTTGAAAATTTAGCTCATTGGTTACATAACTCCTCATTTCTAACTAGGGTCATTTAATTAAAAGTGCTATGAATGTGTGATGAATTACACATGAGATTGGGATTGGGTGAAGAAGCGAGATTAGATTATAAGTACAAGCATTGTATATTATAGTAAGTGTATGTTTTGAAAAGAGAGTAATGATTTCATAAGAAATGATATTTAAATCAATTCAAGAGACTACTATGATAGTAGTGTAACCCATGCTAAGTGCCTTTAGAGAAAGGTAGATAGGGTGACGGAAGGCCATAAATGTCACGGCCCAAATCTCAGGCCCATGATTGGCACTAGTATCCTCGATCTTAGTCAGCCTTACAACAACTACCATACTCAAAACTAAACAAAATATATAAGTATATATCATTCTGTTCAAGATACAAGACAGGATTTTATTTGAGTGATAAGTACAAAAATAGGTAAACAAAAGAATATGCTCGTACGTCGATCGACTTGTGAAGCGTAGCTCTAAACACTGCTATTTGGTCTACGAATAGTCAAGCCGATCTAAAAAAATAATAAGGTGTGAGTTGTGAAACTCAGTGAGTAAAGATAATATCTAAACTATGCATGTCGGGATATGTATCATATCAGAAGTTCAAAACTATACATATACATATATACAATGAGCAGTACCATCATTAGAACATATATATGTAGGAGTACAATGATCACTAAGACTCCAGCCATGATCGGAGGAATCTTTCATCTCACGATCAGGTTCAACACAGTTACAAACCATACTTTTAGTCGAGAGGCATCCTCCATCTCACAGAGCAACACATCATGCTCACCAGGGCAACTATACCACGCTCTTGGCAAAGGTATCCTCCATCTCATGATCAAAGCAACACGCCCACTAGGGCAACATGGTTTCAGTGCATCACACAACTCCCCATATATCAATCCAAAACAGATACACATACATATATAGACCAAAATTTCAAAACAGTATTGCATACCAACATAACTCACTAAAAATTCACAAAACACATAACACATATTCCAAGTGCAACATGTATAAAAAAATACAGTTTATAAAACTATATGATCATCTTGCCAAAAAACACAGTTTGAAAAACAAATGCATGTGAAGGTATCATCACTCACAAAACAGTCGAGTCAAAAAGAAGTCTCAAGTT